GGGGGGGGGGGGGGGGGGGGTGGGGAGCAGGGAAGGAGGGAAAGCAACCCATGAGTCCCAGTGACTCACTTGGTAGGTTCAGGCTTGAATTTCTCAATCCTCATAAATCATTCAACCTAGTAAGGAAATATTGTTTTGAGTGTCTTGAGCAGCCTGATGAAACTGCAGGTAGCCAAGGAACATGCCTGAGGTTGCCTGTGGTTCCTTTGAAAGGTGCTTCTCAGGACCATAAAAAGCCATGACAGGCTGGGCTGTGGCTTCTTATAAACTTTGGGGAAGCATTTGAATAAGGGATGGTTTTGCCTTTTTGATGTTCTCTAATATAATTCAGGTGTGGATTTGTCACTTTCTGTTCAAGCTCTAACACTATCATAAAGCTTGTCAAAGATTCAAAGAGGTCAAGGTCCCCTGTGTGTCTGACATGCCACTCTGCCTGCTTCTTGATGAGCTTGGGGGATCACCCACTCCTCAGGAGCAAAAGAGATGCCTCTGTGTTCCAAGAACTCTTTTTGTTTAAGTCACTCATTTGCGTTTAATATTCGAAAAACATTTGGTCACATAGAAACAACACCCACCAAATAAATACATTGTCCTTCCCATCTGCTGAAGAGCAATTCTCCAGTGTGAGTGAAGGCTGCCTTGCCCCCAGATAGGCTGCTATTCAGTTGCTGCAGCTGGATTGTCACTCATTATTTTTTTTCCAGCTAAGTGTTTCATAGCTTGTAGTTAGATCAGGGTAGTGAAAGCAGAGTATGTGTGTGTGACTCTTGACAGCTGCTGCTTCTGGGATGAATGAATGCATAGATCAACATAGTCTTGTTGCTGTTGTTCATGCTGCACAAGGCTTTGTCCCTGCAGAGCTCATTAATTGTAACCTAAGTGTTGGAGGGGGGGGGTTGTGCTGGAAAAACTTGCCTTGAGTTGGACTGGCATTCTTTGTTCAGTCTAGGTGGCCACAGAGGTGGTCCCTTGTCTTCAAACCTGCACTGCAGTTCCCCTAGTAAATGTCATGCTGCTCTGAGTGCAGGCAGGTTTGGTATCCCACTGGGATATATGGACTCTGAAGTGAAAAGTCCACATCAAATATGGAAGGACAAAAAACTAAATAAAAATCAATAGAAGAAATAATGAGTTCAAGGACTCCTTTAGCTTTCCTCCAGTGTGGTTATTTTGGAAGCAGCTTAATGAGGTCGTTGTTCAGCTTGATGTGTGATGTCCTGCTGACAGTTGCTTGCCCAGAATATCAGGTGGCCTGTGGGGAAGGGAGGGGGGAAAAATACCCTGGGTCTGTGTGTCTTGCCTCCTTTCAGAGCAGCTCAGCCCTTGTGCCTTCCCTTTCACAACCTGCTGCAGAATGTCCTGGGTTTGTGCAGCAATACAATGGCAGAGGCACCACAGGGCTGTTGGGATCAACGGGTGGAACAGCCTGGTGCTCTTGAAGGTTTACTAAGAGACTGTCTGGGACAGCCTGGCCAGTGTGTGCCCTCTGGTCTTAGAGTGCTTTGGGAGTCCTTCACCATGGGATAGTTTCTGAAACATTGCCAGCAAGCATGCTTGTCTTTGGGCTTAGGAGGGTGCTTCCAGCTGGGAAGTCAGCCAGGTGTTTGCAGCTGAGAAAAGTACTACCAGGATTGAAGTGTTCTTTAAAGCCAGAGCAAGTCTGTTCTGTTAAGAAAATGACAAAGGTCAGGTTTTGAAGCCAAACTATTGTCCAAGCCCTTTGCTGGAGCAAAGAGCCACAAGCCTTGGTGACAGGCCAGAACAGCATCTGGGGACCAATGGATCATGTAATAGAATCCCAGACTGGTTTGAGTTGGAAGGGACCTTCAAGATCATCTAGTTCCAACCCCCTGCATGGGCAGGGACACCTCCCACCAGCCCAGGCTGCTCCAAGCCCCATCCAACCTGCCCTTCAACACTGCCAGGGATGGGGCAGCCACAGCTTCCCTGGGCAACCTGGGCCAGGCTCTCACCACCTTCACACCAAACAATTTCCTCCTCATGTCCAACCTCAATCTCCCTCTTCCAGTTTTAATCCCTTCCCCCTTGTCCTCTCACTCCCTGTCCTTGTCCCAAGTCCCTCCCAGCTTTCCTGGAGCCCCTTCAGACACTGGAGGAGGGTTGGTTCTTTGCTGGTGTCCTTTGGCTACTTAAAATAGAAGTCTTGGGAACAGAGGGTGCATTTCTCCCTTGTGCCTTACAGTAGAGCCCCAGTCTGGATCATATTACTAGAAGGCAGAGAAAAAACTGGTCATTTGGGATCCTAGATGTGCCTGTGGACACCCACTGTGCTGTGAGCCATTGTCCCAAGATAGGCTGCTATTCAGTTGCTGCAGCTGGATTGTCACTCATTATTTTTTTTCCAGCTAAGTGTTTCATAGCTTGTAGTTAGATCAGGGTAGTGAAAGCAGAGTATGTGTGTGTGACTCTTGACAGCTGCTGCTTCTGGGATGAATGAATGCATAGATCAACATAGTCTTGTTGCTGTTGTTCATGCTGCACAAGGCTTTGTCCCTGCAGAGCTCATTAATTGTAACCTAAGTGTTGGAGGGGGGGGGTTGTGCTGGAAAAACTTGCCTTGAGTTGGACTGGCATTCTTTGTTCAGTCTAGGTGGCCACAGAGGTGGTCCCTTGTCTTCAAACCTGCACTGCAGTTCCCCTAGTAAATGTCATGCTGCTCTGAGTGCAGGCAGGTTTGGTATCCCACTGGGATATATGGACTCTGAAGTGAAAAGTCCACATCAAATATGGAAGGACAAAAAACTAAATAAAAATCAATAGAAGAAATAATGAGTTCAAGGACTCCTTTAACTTTCCTCCAGTGTGGTTATTTTGGAAGCAGCTTAATGAGGTCGTTGTTCAGCTTGATGTGTGATGTCCTGCTGACAGTTGCTTGCCCAGAATATCAAGTGGCCTGTGGGGAAGGGAGGGGGAAAAATACCCTGGGTCTGTGTGTCTTGCCTCCTTTCAGAGCAGCTCAGCCCTTGTGCCTTCCCTTTCACAACCTGCTGCAGAATGTCCTGGGTTTGTGCAGCAATACAATGGCAGAGGCACCACAGGGCTGTTGGGATCAACGGGTGGAACAGCCTGGTGCTCTTGAAGGTTTACTAAGAGACTGTCTGGGACAGCCTGGCCAGTGTGTGCCCTCTGGTCTTAGAGTGCTTTGGGAGTCCTTCACCATGGGATAGTTTCTGAAACATTGCCAGCAAGCATGCTTGTCTTTGGGCTTAGGAGGGTGCTTCCAGCTGGGAAGTCAGCCAGGTGTTTGCAGCTGAGAAAAGTACTACCAGGATTGAAGTGTTCTTTAAAGCCAGAGCAAGTCTGTTCTGTTAAGAAAATGACAAAGGTCAGGTTTTGAAGCCAAACTATTGTCCAAGCCCTTTGCTGGAGCAAAGAGCCACAAGCCTTGGTGACAGGCCAGAACAGCATCTGGGGACCAATGGATCATGTAATAGAATCCCAGACTGGTTTGAGTTGGAAGGGACCTTCAAGATCATCTAGTTCCAACCCCCTGCATGGGCAGGGACACCTCCCACCAGCCCAGGCTGCTCCAAGCCCCATCCAACCTGCCCTTCAACACTGCCAGGGATGGGGCAGCCACAGCTTCCCTGGGCAACCTGGGCCAGGCTCTCACCACCTTCACACCAAACAATTTCCTCCTCATGTCCAACCTCAATCTCCCTCTTCCAGTTTTAATCCCTTCCCCCTTGTCCTCTCACTCCCTGTCCTTGTCCCAAGTCCCTCCCCAGCTTTCCTGGAGCCCCTTCAGGCACTGGAGGAGGGTTGGTTCTTTGCTGGTGTCCTTTGGCTACTTAAAATAGAAGTCTTGGGAATAGAGGGTACATTTCTCCCTTGTGCCTTACAGTAGAGCCCCAGTCTGGATCATATTACTAGAAGGCAGAGAAAAAACGTCATTTGGGATCCTAGATGTGCCTGTGGACACCCACTGTGCTGTGAGCCATTGTCAGCCCCCCGGAGCTTTGTCAGCTATTTAAGAAAAGAGCCTTGCCCTGTGCACAGAGGATTTAGGTAGCTAAGAGTGGCCTCTCCATCTGGCTTTTCTTTCCTCACCTTGCAAGCAACTTGCCTTATTTCTGGATGCAGCCAGCCTGCCATCCATTTATTTCATTTCCCTTCTCTAAACAGACAGAAGTAATCCAGGAAAGCAGTGGTCACAAAACCAAACATCCGGTTCCACATCTCCACGTTACAAACCCCAAACTGGTCCAGG